CTCTTCCCTGGAATAGGACAGGCAGGAGACACCCCTCATTCACAGGCCCAAGTTAGGCCCCTAGGGACAGGCCATCCCTGCTCTGCCTGTGGTTCAGCAGATCACATCCAGGTTTGAGAAATGCCATGGCATGTGGACTTTGCATTGAAGATCTAAGTGAAGGGGGTGGTAGCAAGGACAGGTAAGTTCAAGGAAGCTGGTTCTATTTAGGGGAAGTGTCCCTTTACCATAGTTTATATATCCTTAGGTGCCTTTGTTTGATTATCCATTCATTCATTCAAGAAATATTGACTGGGCCCCAGGATTAGTATATCTTGCTAGGCATTGGAAGTCTGCTGTCAGACACAGTCCCCACTCTGACTAGAAGGTCATATTTTAGAACCATATTACTTAGGCTGTCCATGAATCACCTTCAGGTCTCCCCTTGACGAATCCTTCATTATTGCTCACAATAATGATGGTAATAGACACATACTCCCTTATTTAATTTTCTCATCCATTCCCTCCAATGACAAACCTCAAGCTCAGAGAGGGTAACTAACTTGCCCAGGGCTGCACCATGAGTGAGGGCGTCGGAATTCAGTCCCAGTTCTCTCTGGTCTCAAAGTCTGGCTTGATTGCCACGTTGTCCTGCCTGCTGTGGTATACCTTTGCTTGTCATCAGGGGCAATTGTAAGAAAAAGTCAGGTGAATTACAAAACTTTATTTGCTCTAAAACTTGAGCAGTTTCAAATGTCTTTTAGAATTTTGTGCTGGAGAGTCTCTGCTGGTCTTTCTTCCCAAAGTGAACGCTTCACCTTGCCCCCCGGCCAGCAGCCCACCCAGGTGCTAAGTGCAGGGCTCGAGACCATGATTCAGGTGCCCTCTGGTAGGTGCCTTGGCTTACTTCTCCTTCCCTTGGTCTGGTTAGTTTATAATGTATCCTCTTACTAAAACACCTCGAATCCTATTTGAAAAGGGTTAAAATAGAAATCAATTAAAAAACAAAGAGATGCAGGGACCTGACACCATCCATTCCCAGAGGACACCTGCCCAGGTCCCTGGGACCCAGATGTCCGGCGACTGCCTCGGGATGA